TTGCTCTTTCTTCTGACAGACTGTTTGCATGAAGAATTTCCTTATATCCTTAAAATTTTTAGGGAAATAAAAAAAATATAAATAAAAGCAGAAAACCCTCCACAGGTCCTTTCCTGAAAAGAAAAACTTTAAACTCTCTAGGCCCATGTAGAAATGCCAAGCTGTTACAATTTTCCAAACACAGCCTGGAGCTTTGCCTGGATGCACAGAAAGATCAGTAGTCCCTTCCAGTGACCTTGTTCTTCCCAGGATTTGAGAGGTGGCAACTAAGCAGCAGCATCCCACCAGCTGGACAAGGCAGTGGAACCCAGCACATAAAGGGTTACAGCCTCAACCCTGTGCTTTCCAGCCTTCTCCATCCCAGGGCTGGGAATCTGCTTGTGTCTCCCCTAAAGATCAGATTTTACCCTTCCCAGGCAGTTCCAAGGCTCAGAGTGGGCAGGAAACAAAAGGGGCCAAGGAACTGCCCCTGGGACCAGACACTTCTGCAGGGCTGAAATTCCACCCCTGGGGCATCTCCAGTCCATACAGTCCCATCAGCAGCCTGGGGCTATTTGTGCTCCAGTACCTCAAGCAGACAGAAAAGGAAAAAAAAAACCCAAAAACCCTTGCCTGAAACTATTAATTTAAAGTTGACAGCATAATTTTGCTTTATGCTCTTAAGTAACAGATATGAAAAGCAAAAACAAAATCCTAAGGACTGCCAAGACTAATTAAAAGTTCTGTCATCTAACTTCCATAGTGACACCTAACCTGTTACAGGTTTTAAAAGATGGAGATAAACATCACTGTGAATTTTACAATAATGTCTGTCTTTTTTTAACATGAAGAGTTCAGCTAATTAGATCACTCCAGAATGGCAGTGGCTTGAAGAATTGTAATTTAATTAAGCAGCAGGTTATTCTGTGAGTATGAGGAATCTAGCAACACTTTATTTTTGTTAACCTACAGCTTTGTCTGCTGGAAATTGATTGAATGCATTTAATGCTTCCTTTCTAAAGGAAGCATTATATGTATTTAATCTTCTTTTTTCACCTGATATGGAAGCACCCAGTTATGAAGTGGATATGAAAGTGCCAGTTATGACACAGTGATGAACTGGATGTGAATTGCCAACTGTATCATGGTGCAATAAAAGGAAATCAAACATTCAGATGTGGACTCTGAATGTAAAAATGCCAAACCTCACAAATGTGGTGGCATTGCCTGGCATTGTTTGCCTTCCTGTTTGAGTGATTTATCTAATGTGATTATAAACTGAAGTCTTTGAGATGATTTTCAATAACTATTACTTCTCATGTGAAGAAATAAGATTTGAACAAAGTCTGTTATGAGCATACATCATTCTAGAAATACACTGAAAAAATGAACATAAATCAAAGATGAAATTACAAAACAACTGAATAGGACAAATAGGATGTAGAAACATTCTGCTTCAAAGAAAAGATGTTATTTTTTATTTTCTTCTTGGTAAAGTAGCATATTTTTACCTGGTTACAATAAAATTACCACAGGATATTAAAAAAAACCAAGAAAGTATTTAGAAAATTTTACATATATACACATTTGCTTAAAAATTCTATATGTAAACATTAGCATAGCAAGTTAAAATAATATTACAGTTTATTAATACTTATGTGAATATTGTACATATATATGCTTAATTAATAATACCTTTTCTACAGTTTAATAGTAACAACAAAAAAAAATACCTCCCCTAGGTCAAGAAGGAAATTCAGCTTCTTCAGTTGCCAACAGATTTGGTCCCAACTCCAAGACACTGAGTTCTTCATCTCAGTGTTAACTAAGAAGGTAAAGCACAGACTTTCAGAACTGTATTTTCAACCACACTTACATTTTTATAATGTTTAGTGTCTTAAATGATTAACACTCAAAAAACCCACTTCCCACAGTTTACCTACTGTCATGGCATGGAGATGGTTTCTGAAATCTTGTTAAAAGAACTCATTCCCCTACAGGGAAGTGCAATAAACTCTGTTTTGATGTGATAAAAACCAGGTTTGTTTTTTTTAAGTCTGGTTATTTGCAGCAATTTGTAAATTTGGAAAACTCACTCCTTTCTAAACATTTCAGTGCTGTTGTCTAGAATAAATTCATGCCATTATGAATGAAAAACTAAGCCATCAATATTGATTAGAACTATGCCCTCATAATTTTTGTAGAAGGAATTCATAAATAATCTAAGTTCTCTATAACTGGATCATAAAAATACAGTTAGTGTAGAGTGAGAAATAAATTGAAATGTACAGTGTCACAGCACTGTAGAACAAGTGGTTTATCTTCCATTCAAGATGTGAAACACAAGCAGGTTAATCAATAGTTTAAAATACATTTTGTATTTCATATAGATATTTTCCTATAGTAAAGTGTTTCTTTGAATACAGAATGCTGTGAAACTACCAAACTTCCAAAATAATAATCAAGTCAATATCCTATGTGATGCAGGGTGCGGACTGAAATACCCTAACCTATAGAAACTGAAGGAGGGAAATCCTTTACTTTCTTGAATTGTTTAATCACTTTTCCAGAAGTGACTCAAGATCCAGTTCAGAAGCATTACTGTTGTTTCCAAGGAGAAAAATGTGTTTGTGTGTGGAACAGGTTTATTTTCATATACCCTAGAGTTCCAGCTGGAGGAGCCTAAGGCTGCTTCCACGATTTGCAAGGGTGTATAGCAGCAGGATTTGGTCAAAAAGTAGGATTTTTTCCTTTTAAACAGCTGTTCCACAGGTTTCTCACTGTCATTTCAAGCAGGTAACTGTATTTCTATCCACAGGTATATATTATCTGTTCCCACAATTCCAAGACATTGGATGAAAAATGTTTTGGGGTGGGGGGTTTGAACCTTTGAAATGGCACAAAACTTCTAGCAGATCTGAGATCCCTGCATTCTTTGAAGGAAAAATAATGACATCAATATCAGAAAGCACCAATTACTGATTCTGGTAATAAAATACCAGGTTCCTAATCATTAATATGTCCTGGCAGAAGCATCATTAGTTCACTGGGAATTCACCAAGTCTCATTTATTATTAGCTTGCTGCTCTGAGTCAGTCAACCCCATTGTTAGAGGGTTTGTATTAATTAATTTGACAGCTACCATGTAGATATTATTCTGTACAATAAAACATGACTGCTACAAAGAAACACCCCACCTTAGCAATAGGTCACAATTTTGAGCCAGTAATCTTTAATACCATTCTGTTCTTTCTCTAAATGCTTGTATTAATTCAATCACAATGGTTTATGACTTGCAGTAGATTCTGTAAGGTAGCATAATTTGATTACAACTATCACATCAACAATATATTCCATTTAAAAGACTGGCTTTGAAATTATTATCTTCCTAAGAATATGTGACTTAATGGACATATCAATTTAAGCCTTTATAGCTACGTCAATATCCTGCCTCATATCAACCTTGCAGATTTATTACTATTATTATTATTATTGAGAACTTTGATTTAATTTGCAAAAGCCAAGTCGACACATTGCATTCTCTATAATGAATGAGAGAATCTCTAAATAAATGAGATTCTGAAAAACCACAGTCAGTCTGTGAATACTGATGGAGACATCTGCAAAAGCTGGAAAAGCTCTGCCTGCTCTGTGTTTCTTAGGGAAGGGTTCATGGTGGAGGTGACTGGACAGCAGCACTGCAGTAGAAATTGTGCCATTTTTTACAGTTTATTTTGAACAGCCACTAAAGGCTGCAGAGGAGAAGCCCTGATCTAAAGACAAAGCAGGAATGAAATGCTAACAAGACCACAAATTGCTCCAGGCTGGCTCTACCAGCCAGGAACAGCTCCAGGGCCCAGCCTGTCCTGAGTCCTCATCCTGGGATTACAGCACTGGCCACTGGTGCCAGCAGGAAGGGTCAGTAATGAATTAATTAATAATTCATTAGTAATGAACCCAGCAGCTCATTGTGAGCTGCCCACTGAGCACAGACAGGGGCTGAAGAGCTGTGAGTCAGCCAAAGGAAGTTTAGAGCTGTACAAAAATTGTAACTGGATGGAATTGGGTGAACAGGATAAGCTGATAAAATCACTCCACTGGCAGAATCATTGTTACAGGGATTTAAGATGAATAATGTACTTACTTGGGGTTCCTAATACCAACTGGTCAACTTTCTTCAAGAGGCTTTGCTGGTTCTGGTGAAGGAACAGAAGTGGGATTTGTAACAGATATACAGGACTCTCAGACAGAGCCTTTCAGAATGCCTTGAGGTGGTAAAAATTTGGGCATTCCTGTCAGTAGGCACTTACTGACACTCATGCAGGTACCTCTGTAGTCTTCTACATAACCAGGGATATAAAGTGGGAATGCCACCTTGTGAGGAAAGGCTTTCATTTGATTATTTGCTGGAATTTTAGCAGAGCTTTTGAAAGGATTAATAATGCACCCATGATGGTATCTTGTATCACCAAGTGAACATTGTTTGCAGACTGTCATCTTAGCAGCTGATACACAATTCAGCTAAAGTTAACAAAGAGCAATTTGTACATGGTAAACAAGTTTAGTATCTTTATGTGATCTACATACATACTTTAAAAATTACAAGAAGAAAGATAATCAGGAATGAAATAATTTTAAGAGCCAAATGCAGATACAAAAAAGTCCTTTTAAACAACTGAAAAGAAATTCAGTCTGCAGTAAATGAAATTCCTTACCATTTGCAGTTTACTGAATAAGTACTTGAATCTGTGAATTATTTCTTGAAAATGAATACAGCTTCATGTAACAGATACATCACAAAGGTTTCCACACAGTGTTTTCTTTCAAATTTACTTGCAATTCAGTGTTAGTATATGTGCCATATTTCTACTAACCAAGTCTCCACTTTCTGAAAAATGAGTTAAAATTGTTTCAAAGTGGGACCATCATTACAGCTACTTCTCTTTCCAACAAAGACAAGTTAAATCATCAGCAGCGCATCAGGCTGAAGAGTTTGGAGAAGATACTTAACTGCCAATCTACTCACTTTCCTTTCTTCTTAAGTGAGTGTCCCACTGTAACTAACACAAAACACCAACGGTAATTAATTTGTTAATGAATACACAGCACAGAGCTCCCAGGCTGGCCTTTGGGCTTTTCTCTTTGTCTGTGTGGTACCTGTCATCTCTTACTGACTGGGAAATATTGGTTCATTTCTGTGATGTGGTTTTACTTAGTGGTATTTCACCTACTGAAATTTCTGACCTGGAGAGTGAATCCCACTCCTCTCTGCCACATTTTGCTGTTGAGTGCAGTCTGGAAGTTCCACATTTCAGTGCTGGGAACCCTGCTCGGGCAGCGCTGGTGCCACTCCCTGTGGGTAACAAAGCCTTTCTCACCTGAGAGGAGCCACTGGAAACAAATGAACACTGACTTCCCTGAACAGCACTCACTGCTCACAGCACTGCAGAACACAAATTCCAGTTTGCTGGAACTTTATAAAGCACCGAGGTACAAAATCTGTTATTAATCATCAGCTTCTTTTTTTCCTGGAGAATAATATAAGATGTGAAAATTTAATATAATGAATGGATAGTAAAATGACAAGATACATCAATTTAAGTAACGTTATCCAAAAAAACTTCTGAGAGGAATGATGTTCTTACATAAAGGAAAACTAGAACACAATTAATAGAAAATTTGAACATACACTGCTTAAACTTAATGAAGAGAAGAAGATAGCTAAAACATAATTAACTGCCTATGGCAGTGCAGCTAATGGATGCTGAACTGGATTCCAGTTAATCCATTTCAGGACTTTCATCACTTGTAACAATTCTTGTCAATTTTTTAGTTACTCTTACAGTAGTAGCATTACAAATTACTTTTCAGTAAGAGGTGATGGGGAACAGGCACTTTCATTACAGGCAATTTTTAAGTATCACCACGTGAAGGGTATTACAAAATCAGATTAAGAATTCCACCCTGCCCTGTTAATGATGGACTGTTCTGTAACATAAACCACAAATTAATAACAAAATATAATCCAAGACTTAAAAGCACTGTTTTGTACCACATTACTTTTGTGTATCCTTGTGGTGGTTTGTAGAAATGAATAATATTGCACCTGCCTTACAGAAAGACTGAAATTTCACTAAAAATAATTACATTCTCTGATTTTAAAGAATTACTTCCCTCAGATGAATGCTATTGAGACTATCTATCTAGAAATGTACAAAAGCTATTTTTCCACCTGTAATGTTTGTCTCATCATCTGCATGGTGAAGTTTTTTTAAAAACCTTTGTGTGTCAGAGGTTGACAATAAAAAAAACCAAAACAACCCAGTCTTTCTATTTACAAAAGGTAATAAATTAGTGAGGTTCTTTTAAGTACATCCTTCTGACATATTAAGTAGTGATAATCATAAAGGTCCTTCTAAGGAGAAAAAAAAATTGTCTTGACATGAAGCCCACATCTCTCTGGAACAGAAAACTGTACATGGAAAAGGGACAACATAATAGAAACAAGGAATTCATTGTGACAGAAGGACTTCAGAGGAACAAAGGAGAATTTGTGCAGTGCAGCTTTACAAAACAAAGGAAACGCCGAGCAGTTTGCTGAGCTCTCGTGAAGAGCCCTCGTATTCTTTGAGAAAGTGATTGCTGCCTTCCAAAGTAGTTAATCAGGATATGACCCTTGGTAATGAATGTCTCTTTTCAGGATTTAAGTTGATGCAGCTGTAGTCTCTTCAGGAGCTTAAATTATAAATATAGGCTAGGAAGGGATGACAGAAGCACTGCCAGTACGTGCTGCCCACGGCACCAAGGGCAGCAGGGTCAGAGGTCCCCGCTCTGAGGCTCCAGGCTCCGGGGCTCACGGGGGTGGCCGCGGGACAGTCTGGGGAAGCGCGTGCTCACTCTGGAGCGATTGCTTTTGCTCACTGCTTCTCCAGAGGCTGGGATATCACTAGGGAGACAAAAAACAAACACAGAACAGCTCATTTATGTTCTATGGAAATTGTTGTGTAGTTACTTCCAACATGAAAAAAGCAGATGTGTTATGAGAGCCTGGCACATGACTGCGAAGTACAGCACACATCTTCAACACCACGGAATTGCATTCTTTCTACTGGTGTCTCAAGTGTGAATTACAGAATGGGCTCTTTCAGAAATGAGAACTAGTAGAACTTTCAATACTTTATGGAAGATTGCAAGTTACAGGATAAAAGCGGATCTCTATGAGTTGCAGATCAGAAATGGTGGGAAAAGCATTTTGAAGTGATAAAAGTACAAGCAAAATAGACGAGCTTGGATGATGCTCAATTAACGATCCTCTAATCATGGATGGATGTATCATTACATGATGAAGTACATTGGTAATACATCCCTGAATTCTTCAGTCTCTCCTGACCCACAACAGACTACAGTCTTACATGAATGAGCCTTTTGCAAAAGACTCTGAGAAGAAGTACATTAAGTTCAAAAACAAGCAGTAACAGAAAATTCCAGCTTACCTAGGTGATATTCAGGCTATAGACTCCTCGGAAAACTACAGTATAAAGGGATAGCATTGTACTTTTGCCATTCTTTTACACGACTCCACACGGTTTTTAATTAAACTACTTACACACAGACCAATAAATAAAACTAAGTTTTGGATTTAGCAACTCAGCTAAGCAATAAAATTACACAGCATACAAAGTCAAGCTTATTTTCTAAAGTGAAAAACCCCAACTTTATAATATCTATCTTCAGACTATGATAACAAGTCCAGAAAGGAGAAATTGCTCATCTGCACTTCCAGTCATATTAAACAAACACAGACATATTTTAAAACAATCCCCAAAGTTCTCTGTGCAGTTTCTTTTCCTGCAGAGTGACCTTTCTCACAGACAGGCCAGTCCCTCCTGCCAGAGCCACAGGCACACTCATGCCCCATGGAGGCATTTGGAGCACCCACATGGGAGAGATGTCAGCAAAGCAAAAGCCTTTACCAAGTCCTGGGATTGACTGGAAAATTCACTCACAGAGCACTCCTGCAAGAAGGGCAGCTGTCCTGCCCTGCCTTTGGCTTCAGAACTACAGTGGACACACAGCTGCCCCCACAAAGGGAAGAGAAAAACACAGTATGGAAAAGTTACGTTCAGTTCAGATGCTAAGCAACAGAAAATAAAGTTTTGAGGGGTTTTTTAATGGCAGAGTATTTAACTGGTCTAAATTTCTAAGCAGAGAACTCTGAAATAGCTTTAGTTAAAATAATAAAGGATTTTCCTAAAGCAAGATTCACCACATTCCTATTATAGTATTTAGTCTTCCAAGGTAACTTAGAAGTTCTTTGTGTGAAAAAATTCATAAAATACCTGTGACATACCTCCTCCTCCTCTTCAATAACCAGATTAATATGTTAGATCTTTAATTCCTTATTTTCCTTGTCACTAAAATAAAAAGTCTAAAAATTAATTTAGCCTATGTGTTATTAATTCTTGGTAGCCAAAGATAATTGGACTTCCAACTGTGACCCTACAGTTTCTTACTCTGAAACTCAGCGATGCTATCTAAGTTACTGTAGAGAATTCTGATCATGTGAATCCAATTTCAGCTGTGCTCATTACCATGGATTTCTTTTAGTAACATGAATATTATTACTCATAATTTTTATACTATTTATAAAATTGAGCAATGCAGTGTTGATACTGTAATTCTTGTAAAAGAGAGCATGTGACATTGACTTCAGAGGGTTGTGATTTTGTTTTAACACATGTATTTTTCAGAACATGTAAATGTAAAATAATCTAAATATCAAACATATAATGGAATAAAATGAAATGTTCACCTCATTGGGCTTTGCTCATCTAAAGTAGGTTAATTCCCCAGCACAGTGGCCACTGCTGACAGAGCTTTGGCTGTGTGAGGCACAGGGGATCCCTGGCAGGTACAAGGGGTTTACCTGGCAGCAGAGAGCACGAGTGGAGTGCAATTACTGTAATTTGGTGATTGCTTTATGGAAAGCACATTTTAATGCACAAGCTCCTCCTGCTGGCATGTCCCCAAAACGACATCAGTGCCAGCCCAATGGAGCAAAGCTACGCAGAGGGAAAAGGGCAAAAGGGGCAGAAGGAGTTCCCCTAAAATGAAGAGAGATGAATTAATTTCAGTCTGGCAGGGCTGAGGTAATCAGGTCATTTAGGGTAATTACATGAACACCAATGTCTGTGAGCAAAGGACAGAAATTGCAAGTAATTCTGCTAATTTAAATTATGCTACTCCACAACATGATATATCTAATAACTAAATTAGAGATTAATTTATCTTAAATCTCTTAGCTAATTTTTATAATGGCAATCTAAGACACATCATTATCTAATGTAGGTTTACAGAAATCAATGTATAGCTGAGGAATTACAGCTTCATGCATCCAGCATGAAAAGAAAACTGGAGCTGAAATTGAATTGATCAACTTCCATGGAAACAGATGTTCTATGGGGAAAAACTTTCAAGTATTAAAAGAGCCATAAATTTAAAGAGTCTTTCAGCCCCCTTTTCATCCTCCCTTTTTCCCAACTTGATGGGAGAACCACCCATCTCACTTTCCCACTTCAGCTCTGGCTTTCTTGCCAAAATGACCAACCCAAAACACAAGGTAAGCAAGTAGGAGGGAAAGAGTCATCTCCCCTCTATTGTGTCTTCTGTTATTAGATTTAATCATTTAGTTCTGGCCTAGAAGTAGAACAATACCTTCACAGTCTCTGGCACTAACCAAGACACTTTCTAAATGCATTGACAGTTCAAGTGGTTAAATATCCCACCAACTCCTGGGCAGAAGCATGAAGACCTTAATGTGATTCTGTCTGTATTTCTGGCAAATGCACATGAAAATGGAATTGAGACAAATCTTTTTGCCACCCACTGTTTGGGATGAGGAAGGATGAATAAGCCATTACCTACAAGGTTTGCAGATCCTCGTTTGTCACACTCAGTAAAAATAGTCCCTAGGTTAGTCTGGGGGTGCTGAGTTAGCCCCTAGTTGATTGTTTTACTCACATTAAAATACAAATTCAAAATACCTAAATCTAAACCAGGGAGTAGCTGTGCTGCAGTAACTCTCCCAGCCCTGCTCCCCAAGTCCCTGAGGAAAGTTCACTATTTATCTAAGCCTACACCTGTCCCAGCTACACCTGTTTGGCTTTAACAAACATTCTGCTTTTCATTCTGTTCCTTCTGAGCCACAGAAGCCTCAGCAAGGTCCAGGCAGAGAGGCTTGCCAGGCACTGCCCTGTTCAGCAGTGGAATGTCCACATATTAAAGGCTCAAGTTCTTTTCTACATTCTCACCTTGGCCCATTCTGAAGAAAACAGCAACCTGCTGAGGCAATCAATTCCTCCTTCCCACGGGCTCATTGTTTAGCTTTTAAGCATTCCTGATTGATCTGCCCAGCGTTTGTTTGGCAAACGATTCAGTTTCATTGATTTTGTCTTGGTGTCAAGTTCTGCCTGAGGTGCATCTATAGAAAATAGCTTAAAATAACCGGTCCTTTTCATCAGCTGCTGGTTTATTCATACCTTTGATTTATTGTTCTCCCTGTATCCAAATGCAAACTGTATTTTGTGGGGTTTCTTTACATGCTCAGTACATGGAACTGCAGCATTCTCTTGGCTGATGTTGTGAGCGCTTACATGAAGAAATTTATTTCCCATCTCAATGCCTATTCTTCAGGATAAAATTAGAGAGAGAAGTTTCTGATAAAAATAGTATAACATATCTGCAATTGGAGATACTTTTGTATCAGCCAGAGATCAGAGAACAGAATAAGCACATCTTGGGTGTGTAGCAAAGCTCAGGATCAGGCATTTCATGTATCTATCTATAGATCTATCTCACACGTAAATGCCTCTCTGGAGACATTCATAATTCTAGTTTTACTTCAGTTATGTTAAACACTTCATGAAAAAAGGCATTCACTGCCAGGTAAAGTTGGTGACTTTTGCCAGCTTCTTGTGTTATTAATTCTTTGTTAGTCATTATAATAATCTAATTCTGGTAATAACCTCAACACTTAATGTGGTGCTCAGGCAGGCAGCTCCTCAAAAAGGTCCTGCTCAGGAACACCCATATCAGGAGATGCTTATTAGACAATTGAGAACTAATTCTGACTTGACAATGCAACATATCTCAGCACCTTCTGCCAATTAAAATCAAGACACCTGTTTAGTGGCATTATTAACTAAGGTTCTGAATTCATCAAATCATTTCAGATACTGTATTAACTCCTGCTTTGCAGTCAACTGGGTAAAATCCTAGTTCCAGTTGGTGCAGTGTAAAAATAATTGGAGACACATTTTCTGCCACCACTCCCAATTTTGTAGAAATTAAATATAATTATTAATGAGAAACTGTGATCTCCATTTATTAATATAAATGTCTGATTTGGATGTTTAAAGAGTCAGTTATTAACAGAAGAGATAGAAAGACAATCCCTCTATAGCACACTTCAACACTGAAAATCCTGAAGACACTATTAGAGCAAAGTTGTCAGGTTACAAACTGAATAATCAAGATTAGATCTGAAATGAAATTTCAAGAAATGAAAAGCATTAATTCTAATACTCTGTCCAACCATTTGGTTAATCTACAGCTCCTTTACTTCCACATACACACTTCTATACTCATGGTGTATTTGATCTCTTCTTGCAGTAAAATAATGACACATAATCGTGTTTCTGTTTGTTACAATTCAAATTACCCTGACTTGAACATTCACATGCTACAATTCAGTTTCCATAACAGCATGAAGACTTTCTTCATCAACATCTTCACTGTCATTTGAATTTTCCTGTAAACCATGACACTGTACATGACTCTCACAACACAACATTTTTCCCCACTAACTTCATTTTGAAGTTGGCATACTGAGATGGTTACTGTATCTAATAGTTCTATGACTGAATAATATCTGTGTTCTACACTCTT